CATTCCACTGTTTGGTTGATTTGCATATTAGGCTTTTATTATATAGGATGATGTTTTATGATCTTTGGGGCCCTTGCTGGCTGGGGAGGATGCCCCTCCCAGGGCCAGCCAATTCTCAGACAGTAAACTCTTTGGGGGTGAGTTTTACACACACACAGCCACCCCCTTAGCTGATATACACCCAGCCAGTGCCCCTGCGCTCCATCAGCCCAAGGCCAGATACCAGGCAACTAGGGGCAGCCCTGTCCTCGCTGTCCACCCCGCCCTGCTTTGCCCATGAAAACCCCGTAGGGCCGTGGCCGAGGCCTCTCCCTCGATCCTGTCTCCCTTCTGCCGTCCTGTGCTCCCCCCGGCATTCCTCTCATTTCTAGGGACTGTGAGTGACATTAAACTTTTCTTCAGTGGCACTGGCCTGTTGTGTCTCAGTCACCTTTATAAGTTAAGGGCAGGGCACATGTCACACACACAGTGAGCGTGTGGGGACCAAGGAGGTGGCCTGTAGCAGCCCCAGCAGCCCCCTCCGGCTTCTCAGGCCCTGCGTGCTCATCCTGTGCCACCTCCCTGCAGCTCCCATCGCCTCCTCCACAAAGACGTACTACACGTTCCACTGCATTTGTGGAGGGAGAACCGGGCCCTGTATGAGGCTGGGTCTGAGTCACTGTTTGCTTCTGATTTTCAAAGAGATTAAGACAGGAGAACAAGCTGGGACGACAGGTGTCCCCATACAATTGGTGCCCACCCCCCTTTTGGTGGTTCCCCATCCCCAACGTCCACTTCCGCCACCACCCGCACCTGAGCTGCTTCTCCAGCGTCCAATAGTGGGTGGCCCCGTTCTTCTGGTCCTGCACCTCCACAGCCACGATGGTGCGGGGGAAGGGTCGCGTCTCTCGGTCTTTGGCAGCCTCTGGGGGCAGCAGGTCGGGAGGCAGTGGGGAGTAGAGTGTGTCCGTGAGGAGGACAAACTGGAACTGGACCTGCGACAGGCACAAAATGACCACCCGTCAGCCCTCTGGTGGGCGGGAGCCAGGGCCCGGGAAGGGCTTCCTTCCCACCTCCCATAATCACGCTGCACATGGGAATCTCCCCACCCACCACCGGAGGGGGCTACACCTGCCCACCTGCCTGCCTACTGAGCCGGGAGCCACATCACCTCGGTCAGTTCCCTGCCTCCCTCCCATCCCCCCGCCCCCCACCCAGGGGCCCAGGCCGGGCAGCACCACTCCACCATGCCCGGAGCAGAGGAGCCCAGTGTCAAGTCCAGCCGTAAGCAGGACAGGTGATACCCTCCCTCCAAACCGCCGGTGGGCCCACCTTCTTCTTGAGCTCCACGCTGATGGCGTTGGCCTCCTTGAGGAAGATAGCGTTGCCCCAGAGCTGGTCCCGCAGCGACGTGAACTGGTACCACCTCCACTTCCGGAAGGCCCACAGCGCCAGCTCGCACTCCCTCTCCGTCCACGGGACTGTGGGGAGGGGCCACACGGTCATCGAGGCCACGCCACAACATCCTGCTCTGGGTCGGGGCCAGGGGCTCTGTGTCTGGGTCCCCAATCTCAGCCTAATTGTTCTGGGTGCTCAGAAAGAAGGAAACTGGCAGGAAGCGGTGATATGAGCCGTGTAATATGAAAGGAGGCTCTTCGGGCCCCAAGAAGGGCAGTGCGTGAGCATCGTCCTGGGCCATCCTGAGTCGGACTGAAGCTTGGTGAGGACTGAGGGGCCAGCAGGAAAATGACAGGCACTCCGCCACGTGGGGAAGGAGTGGGACCGGGACTGCCCTGCACACCCTCTCCAGCTCACGCTCTCTTTCCACCAAGAAAGGCCCAGGAAGGGCCAGTCCATGCTCCCAGGCTCAACCCCTCCTCCCAGCGACTCCTCCCACCTAGAGCCCTGCCTTTTGGAGCTCCAAGGGCCCTCATTGGGTGGATGAGTCCAGACAAGGGGAAACCAAGGTCACATCCACACAAAGGTGCTAACCCGCAGACCAGAGGTCAAGCAGGATGTGAACTCCATGGCTACCCTTGGGCCCCACAGCAGCATGAGGGCAGCCGATGGGCCACCTAAGCAAATGACCCAAGGTGAGGAGCAGTGACCTTGTCTGGGGGGAGCTCCAGCCTCCAGGTGGTAGCACAGGGTGAGTGGACACAGGACACCCTCCCCATCCTCCCCATGGTCCAGGCTGCTGCCTCCAGAACCCCATGTGTTTGCACACGCGTGTGCCGCTTGTGGGGTGCTTTCCTGCTGCAGCACAATCTCCCTGAATCCCGCCTCCCAGGGACAAGGCCTCTTCCCAAGGAATAGGCAGGACCCCAGGGCAAAGATGCAGACCAGCTGACCCCAGGAAGTGCCCTGGGGGCTGCATGTTCTTGGAGACCCAGGCCTTGCGAACCAGCAGGTTGGGGAGCCCTCACCTTCGTCCTCTGGCTCTTCCTCCTCCTCGTTCACCTCTGGGAAGTACCTGGACTCCATCTGCTTCTGCAGGGCCTCCAGCTTGCTCTCATAGTCCTAGCACAGAAGCAGGGACTGTGACTCCCCCTGGGACCCTCGAGCTGTGGGCCCCAGGCCTGCCCAGTGGGCCCAGACATGGACCAACACAGCGATGGCTTGGGGCAGTGGAGAGTAGGGCTGTTTGCAAAGCAGGGACCTGGCTCACCCCACCCAGGCTCACCCCACCCAGGCATCGTGTGGGGCCTGGGGGCCAGGGAGTGGCACTCTCACCAGCCTTTGCTGCTCCAGCAGGTAGGTGGCCTCCTCCCTCTCCCGGCGGTACTGGTCCTCAAGCTCCTGGAGCCTGCAAGAGCAGGGGTGGGTGA